ACCATCAGAATCAAATTCTATGAGATGGGTGATAAGTATGAATATGATAAATAAATTGTATCAATTGTACAGACAAAAGATAAACAGTTCAAAGGCTGGGTTTAAATATTAAGGCAAACTTTAGCCCTGAATTACTAGAACATTCCCTATGTTACTTAATACAGTATGTTACTTGTTAAACGATGGCTTAACACAATGGCATGATTCATACAACATGCTAAGATAATGTACTGAACAACTACAAATCAGTGAAGCCTATTTTAACTTGCTGTTTGAGTCTAGACTATCAGTATAGTATTGGAGCTTCCGTGGTGGGCATTTTTCATGCACTTTGTAGCTGCTTCATCTTCTACATCCAAATATCATTGTATAAAATTGTTTAGATGTTTACTTTGAAGTACCATAGACATGGGACATGACATGATTAAAGACAATTTCTTCCCTACTGCCTATTCATTTTGTGAGATTTCTGATTATGGTTTGCTTATTTCTTCTGTCCCAATGAATGTTTCCTAACACAAATACATATATATATATAAACACATACACATAAATTTAGAGAATAATTTGTGGGAGCAACATCATCTGCCAGCAAGAAAAATTAGGGAATGGGATTAGAACTTCCAACTCACTCCCCTCTTGATTTTATAGATGCTTCTGATAAGTTTTAGTCTCATTACCAAGACTAAGGCCTTTAAATTTCAGTTAGACTTGCTGAACAAGGGATAAAAAGAAACACCTATCCTTCCACTTCCCCACAAATAGTTGTCTTTTGAAAGAAAACCATTATTTCTCCTGACTCATGGACATTGCCTACAGGGTCAACATAGAAGAGAGGATGCTATTCCACCCAAATGTCCTACTTGTAAACCTTTCACAAGCCTCCATTGGACTACTGTACAAAAAGAACACCATGCAGGGATATCTTTGTCCGACCCAGAACAACTCCTTTAACATCTGAAGCAGAAGAGAACACATCATTATGTCAATAAGTCTTAGTAAATAGGAAGTACCATCCAGGGTACCATCCAAATTTTTTAACAACTGGTTCTGTGGGTGTGGCTTAGTTGGTAGACGTGGCTTGTTATGTGGTCATGTGACTGGGTGGACATAGCTTGGTGGTTATGTTACTGGCTGGGCAGGGCCAACTCAACATCATTCACATTGAGGCACGCATCTCCTCGCCTGGCCTCGCCTTTCTGTGGGGATGCTGCAAGAGTTGTAAGTGTGAAAAATGGTCATAAGTCATTTTTTTCAGTGCCACTGTAATTTTGAATGGCCACTCCACACAAGCAAAGTACCAGGAAAGGAGGGGGAAAAAACTCCAAAGAAGTTCCTGAGAGAGGAATCTAGTACTGCCAAGAATGTAATAAGGGTTAACGGAGAGGCAGTTTCTGTAAGCAACACCAGAATGTTTCCTTCCTTCCTTCCTTACAGGATTAGGCCAGTAATTTCTTCTAACAACCGGTTCTCTGAACTGCTTAGAATGTTAACAACCGGTTTTAGTGAATAGGTGCAAAATGGTAGAATCCCACCCCTGGTACCATCCTAATAACTGAATTTGCTTCATTTATGCAAAGGAGCTCTGTTAGTGAGGTCTGGATTTCTTATATATCTTTTTTCAAAGTTTTGGAGGAGCCATCTTGAACAATTTGTGCAATGATCCCTTATGTAATGACCCATTTGAAATTATAAAAGTAGGGTTATCACAAAACGTGCAATATTGGTTTAGGTTTGCTTTCACATTTGTATATGGGTACAGCTGTCCTCCTTCTCCAAACAGACACATCTGCTCATTAGAAAAACAATGTAATTTCTAGTGTCTAATTCTAATTATTTGCAGATGATAGATTCCTTGTGCAGCCTCCATAAAGGGCTCAGCCTTTCCCACTCAGTGACTAATAACCAGGGCCTTTAGGTAACAAGAAAGAAAGCAGTTAAGACCTGACACAAATTTGTGTCCATTTCTGTGTGTATTGAATGTGGCAGTTACATCTCGATAAGAAGAATGAGGAATCTTCTGGTCTACAGCCTTGTACTATTTAATATTAGCATCCTAAATTAAGCAGTTTCATGCACTTGACTTGGTTTACAAAATCCTGTAGTCTTCTACGGTGATAATTTATTACCACAGATGCCAAAAGCACTCAAACAGCTAGGAAGTACCTATTCCTCCCTGAGGTAGCAAAAAAAGCATTTTGCTTAAATGCTTTGCATCCTAAGTCCCTATTTCACTACTCTACTCTTTAGCTATCTTAACACTTTAAGGTGGCAGAAACTGCATTTCTCTCCCTGTTCAATGACAGCTAAATAAATATAGTTAAATGACAGTTAAATATAATATATTTAAAAGCTCCCAAAAAGTTTAGGATCAGATACCGTATTTGATATTTTGAGAACAGAACATGGATACTCTCATAAAACGGTTACTTGAAGGAAGCTTGCATTTTCCCCAAATGTTGCCATGGTTGACATAGAATCATGGAACTAGAAAGGACATTGGAGGTCTTCTAATCCAACCCCCTGCCCAAGGCAGAAGACCTTATTGCATTCTGGACAATATTTTCTTGAAGACTTCCAGTGATGGAGCACCCACAACTCTGGGAGACAAGCTGTTTCATTGATTAATTATTCTTATACTCAGGAAATTTCTCCTTGGTTCCGGATTAGCTCTCTCTTTAACATGAGTTGGCATGTGCACACTGTTAATACATACAAGATATAGGTGTGCAATATAGTCAACAGAAAATAATCCTCTTACAAAAGAATGATCCAAAAGGCTGGAACTATATTTCTTTCTTGTACTTCAATATTTTATTTGAAAGAGAAGATGCCTGGAGAAGTATTTCAATGAAAAATCCTGACATATCTCAAATTTCTGCAGGAAAAAGCGGTCACATGCTCATATTTTCTTAAGGGATGGTCCAGTAGTAACCTGTCAGTGACACTTATAAATTGGGCCTGCAAATAAAAAAATATTCAAATTTTCTGAAAGCAATCACCCCAATCTAAATAGTTGAATTTTTTTTGAAATGTATCAAAAAGAACCACTGGAAAACAGGATTGTGGGGCTGAGACCATTGTTGACCAGTTACATACTATGGAAGCGTGTAGATGAAGGTTGTATATGTGTGTGTGTGTGTGTAGAGAGAGAGAGGGATTAGAACTCTACAATATGTGTGTGTGTGTATGTGTGTGTGTGTGTGTGTGTGTGTATACACACACACACATATATATATAGGTGTGTATGTTGGAAGTTGTGATTCCCCTGTCTTCTCGGAAAACATTAGAAGAAAGGAAGAGGTGAAAACACAAGCAGGGTCAGCTCCATCAGCCCCCACCCTTTGTCAGGTAGGGCTATTAAAATAGCTGGAGCCAGCTTACTTTTCACAACAAAGGAAGGAGAAAATTACAGGCATGAGATACAGAGGGAAAAAACCTGACAAACTAGCTAAGATCCTTTCCCATAGAAATCAAATAGATGGCAAGCTATAAAACTTGTGAAAAGCAAATCAAAAAGCATAACAGGAAACTCAGGATATTGCAACCTAATGCAACAAACAGCTACTATAAAACAATTACCAAGATCCCAGGAAGAGATCCCAATATCAAAAGACAGGAACTCATCACACACACAGAGAGACAAATCAAAGATTTCAAAGGTTCACACTTACAAAATCAAAGGATCTGAAGGGTATAAAAAAGGAGTTTCTCTATTCACAAGATTAGATTAATCCTAAGAACGCTGTGTGATTTCTTACCTGCCTTCCTATTAATAAACTGATTCTGACTTTCAACGCAGCTGACCAAATCATTTTGCCTTTCTCCCAGCGGGGAAATTTGAATCCATAAAAGGAAAGAATTTTGCCTATTACAAAAGGGCAAGGGCTTCTTTTTCCTCTCCTCATGTGTGTGTGTGTGTGTGTGTGTGTGTGTGTGTGTGTGTAGAGAGAGAGAGAGAGATTAGAACTCTACAATATGTGTGTGTGCGTGTGTGTGTGTATAAAATGATTTATATTAATAATAACAGAAATCCCTGAAAATCATTATATGTTAAGTTACTTCAAAATCTCTCAAGAGTTTTTTCTGAGATTTTGTAGGAATTCAGCATTTTCATAAGAAACTGTGAAATGAAATATGTGAAATAGAACTGTGATGCTCTAGTCCTGCCTTGGGCATGAAGGCTGGCTGGGTGACTTTGGCCTAGTCACTCTCTTTCAGTCTCTCTCACATGGTTATTGTTGTAGGAAAAAATAGAGGAAGAGGGAGTATTAGGTATGTTGGCTGCCAGGAGTTATTTATGAAATAATAATAAAAGCAGGATAAAAATAACTGTTATATTAAATATCACACTAAGTTGGATATTTAGCCATAAATGTATGTTCATGCCATCATGAAATCATGACAGTATTTACCCTTTGAAAAGGTGCCAAACTAAAACATTTTCTTGCTTCCGTCATGCTAATTTATATTATATGTAACCTGCAGACACTTTCAAGAAAGAACTCGTTACAAAGAAATACTGATTAAAAGAACTGCCCACCACGTTGTTATTTTAAATGCCTCAATATTTTTTCTCTCAACGTAAAAGGTACTGCAAAAAATAAAAATAAAATAGATCAAACTCACAGAGCAACATCATAATTGAAATGATCAACTGTATAGCTATGTAGAAAGAAGACTTTTAATTTGAAAGTTATATAGAGAGATTCCATTAAGGAAGAAGGCATAATAATCCAAAGGTGAGAAGAATTGCTATTGTCTTATAAGTCTCTCTGTGGGAATTTTCACAGCATAGACATCTATTGGGAGCAGTAGGGAGGAGGGAGGCTTGTGAAATTCTACTTCCTCATGCTTGCCATCCCATCAATAAATGCCTGCAATCATACTCTTGAGCTGTGGTGTGATTTCAAGGTTCATCTCTTCCAAGCAGCTCAAACACTAATTATCCCAGCTGTAATTAGTAAGATAATTAAATACTGGCTCACTCATCACTCTACCTTGTGTCGGGTCATGATTCTCCCAGAAGACCTTGAGCAGTTTCTCAAAGCTGATGATTTCTGGCTGAAATACCACTCGCACGACTTCAGTATGGCCAGTTTTGCCTTCAATGAAACAATAAGAAACAGGAATATTAATCACTGAAACCAGCACAAAAATGGATTTTTTATTCCCCAGTATGTTAAACAAGTAAAAATACATGGACAGGAAAAGAATGGTGATTAACGGTTATAAGCCTGTTATAATGCCACTTTTTCTGGTAAGTTTCAGAAATGGCAATGCTTTATTCCATTAGGAAACTGTACTTTTTTGCTTCATCTTTTGTAGCTCTGCATGGCATGGCAATAAAGTCATGAGATCACATGGGTGACCAGGGGGACCAGGAGGCGATGGCAAGAGATAGTTTCAATTCCTTTTTGTTCTAGTTCTGTCCGTTACTTTTTAGGCAGTGAGTGGGTTCATTTTTGAAAGGAAAATTGATATGTTACATCTACAATATAAATCTAGATTAACACATGTTTTGCTGGTTTCTTCTAAAGTAATAAATAAACAGAAAAGGATTCTGCCAAATTTTCTCAGCCCACCCAAAGGGATTTTTTTCAGGAGACAACTGGACTTTCTTGTTTTTTTCTTTTGAAGACATTTCACTTCTCATCCAAGAAGCTTCTTCAGCTCTGACAGGATAGTTGGGAAGAGCTGAAGAAGCTTCTTGGATGAGAAGTGAAATGTCTTCAAAACAAAAAACAAGAAAGACCAGTTGTCTCCTGAAAAAGCACCTTTGGAACAACCATGACCTGGATGACTGAGAATCGCTATAGACTTTTCTCAGCACAATTTTCTCTATTGCTGAAAGTGGCATATAAAGAGTTAGTAGTGACAGGTGTCTGAAGGTTGCCCATCCCTGCCAGCTCACTGCAGGGGAGTTGAGCTGGAGAAAATTGCTAGGACATTTAATAATAATCATATATCATAGTTTGTGGGCAGAATAAAGTCAAAGTTTATTAGTTTAATATAATTAAAAAACAAAGTTTATTAGTTTAATATTATTATCAAAGTGCTTCCCATTTTAACAGCTGCTTGGTACAAAATTCATATTATTTCAGCAAAGTTTCTTGTAACCTCTATTGATATTTGCTTTTAGCTTGGCCTCACTGTTCTCAGCTGTATCACCTCTGATGAAGTCGGCTATGAAAACAAATATATTTTTGTTTATAACATTGCAATATCATAAAAAAAGCATTGTAATTCTATTTCTGATGAAATAACACAGATAGAAACTGCAAACAAAGTCATATAGGTTTCCTTGGCCAAATTCAGTTGTAATGTGAGATAGAGAAAAATGGTATTTAGAGGAAGTATTGGGGCAACATCCAAGAACATAGTCCTGTGTTTGGCCATGTCAAATGTCGACACAAAAATTAGGAAACATTTGACATAGCCCTAACTATCTATACCTATAATAATTACCTGTCTTTTCAAATGTCCTGGTGCTTCTCTTTGAATACTTAAGGAATCTGCTGTGCCCAGTTCTACCTTTTGCTGTATTGTCACTTTTTTCAGTGCTAAAAAAATCACTGATTTTTTCAGTAATCTAGCTATCTTCTGACTGTGGCTTTCACAGTAATGAACAGGTTTCCGTCTTAATTTAGATTAATTCCAAACAACATCATTTTGATGCATTATTATGTTTTGACATATATGGTATAGAATAACTTGGCCTGTAAAAAGTCTCAAATGTCTTTGCCTGGCACAAACAATTAAAGGATCTCAAATGACAAGATTGCCCAAGTTTTTTAACAACAGAACAAACAGTTGTGGAAAATCTAAGGCTAATTTCCAGCTCAGTTTAGAGCATACCTAACAGGAGATAAACATAAAAATACTACTATGTTACTATGAAATGCAGCATATAATAAATGTCAAATGTATCCTTCAACATGAAAGGTAATGATGATAGATTCCTCGATAGGAGATGAAAGATACTATGCTATAGTGATTTTGGATATAAGAGCACAATTTATTAATACAAACTACCTTCTACTGGGCTAGATTGATTTTTTTTAGTCTGTGTGAGAATGTCTTCTCTAATCAACCCCAAAGTAAGGGATAATTCTACTACCTAGAATTGTTTGCAATACTAATTAATTTTTATTTTCTGGTTTAAAAATAAATTCAAATTAATCTATTGTTTTCATTTACTTAAGAACTATTTATTCATTTCAGTTTATGTGACCATCCATCTAAAATTCATGACCTTATTTATTTAACACATTTAAATTATCACCCATTTTCTAACCAACTCTGAGGAGCTCTCAATCAAGTTAAAATTACAAATAAAATAATATTAAAATATAAAACCAAACAGATCAAAATATTAAAACTGTAGAGGACTGAAAGCAATTAAAAACTAAAAATTAAGAACAATATATAGAAACTTAAAACAATATTTTTTTAAAAAATACACATACACAATTACCAGCTAAAGTAAAAAAAACCACCAACAGCAAATTAACACAACCACTTCCTGAGTTCATCATGCATCTTGATCCTCAAACCCAGTGACAAATTAATGTCTTTAAGTCTTGCAAAAATAGCCAGAAGGGTTGGGGCCAATCTAGTCTCTGTCTGAGATGATGGTCCAAAGAGTGGGCAATATGATTGAAAAGGCTCTACACCCAGCAAATTAACAATTATAAGTTCTAAAAGGATACATTACTTCTACTGCAAAAGAGAACTGAGATATGATAGAACTAAAACAAATACTAATCATTTGATCTGTCTCCTTAAATATAAGCAGAAGCAAAATCAAGAGGAGGAAGTTAATGAAATTTAGATAATTCTTCCTCATGGAATAAAGTATGGAATAGCTAGGGAACAGTTTTTCAACATGCAATATAACTATTAGAATATAAAACAAATCCTGAGATGTTTCATCTTAAATGGTTTCCTGGTGTAATACAATAAGACTTTGTCCATATGAAGATGGCATGGTTTCTCAATGCTTTACGTTTTATAATTAATCCATTTTCAATTCATCCTTGAGTATACAGTACACTATGGTAGGGTTGTTTCTTCAAACAATATGTACTTGAAATGAATCATATATAAGTATTTATTTCTCTGATGTGGCAACACACAAAATTTGTTATATGGGAGTTATAATACAGGATAACTCAACCAAGTGTCAAGCTGCCCTTTGTCAAAATTTAAAAACACAAGAATATAAAGAATATAAAACTCCAATTGGTTAATCCATGGGCTCATCGTCTATGCAGATTCTCAATTGCATTGACTCTCAGTTTGCACCGATTCTCAATTTCACCTTTGGGATAAACATAGGCTCATCCAATCTAAAGTTCCATGGCCAACTGGATAACTTGGGAATGATCACAAACTTGAACAGAGCAGTAGCTTCTTTCCATTGTTACTTCCTAGCAAAATTATTGCAACATATTGTGTATACATTGGAATTTCAAATTTCTATCAGTTTTAGTGGCCATTGCTAATATTATCTTCATTGAACAGGATTTTATCCTCCTTTCAATTTTTTGACAATCATTTAAATTTAATGCCATTATCTCAACAAATGGTAATAAATTCTAGTATATGCAACACATATGAAAGTATTTCATTTTATTAGTCCTGAATTCCTCTGAATGTAGTTTCAGTGGATGGTCTTGAGTTCTAACATTAGGAAAGATATACCTGTCTCAATGCTATTTATTTTTTCATACATACTGTATCTTCTTTATCCTTTGCTTTGAAGCTATAAAAAGCCAATGCAGTTGCCTTCCTTTATAAAGTAGTTCTTCCACTTCCTTAATATTTTTATTAATTTTTTTCACTCTTCATAGCACTGTAATAATCATTAAGATATAGTAACTAGAACTACACATAATCTAACATATGTGCCTCTCACACATATTTAATGGCACTGTTATAGTGACAATCCCATTTTTAGTTCTCTTCCTAATGATTGTGGTCATGGAATTTGCCTTGTTTATTTGTTTCTTTATTCCATTTTTATAGCAGCTGTATGCTGGCTTGATTAGTTAGTTAGCCAGCCCATTATATACTCACATCCCAGCCAACAGTTCGGCCCACAATGTCTTTAGTGAATTGTACTATTTGTTGTACTCACACTCTAAAATGTACAACCTTCTTCCACAGATTTGCGAAATATTAAGTCATATTCAAACTGAAAATTATAGGAATTGGGCATCTGATCAGAGATCAGAAAAGTTATAGTAAAACCACAGACTTCATGTGTTGGAACTATTCAATGTGTTTATTTTAGAGGTCATATTTGATGAAACAACAATTAAATACAAAAGTTCTGAAAAGAATTAGAACTTCATAGCCAGAAACAGATACAAAAAATTCGTTCAGGAATGTCTCAAAAAATGTTGACTGAATTAGAAACAATGGGTAAACTTTTGAGCTAACCCTGCAAAATGTGATATAATGTGAATTCCAAATGTAATAATGTTTGTATAGATACAGTGTTACATATTTTATGTATATGCATTTTTTTCAGGTACTTTCATAGTAATAGCTCCTAACACTATAAATCAAAATAACAGTATACCTATTTTATTTTTGCTTCTAGATTGCATTGTATGACGATGCTTCCCACCATCTAAAAAAATAAATGAAGTAGGACTCTTGTAAAATGAAACCTTCATCTGGTTTACAGCTTTGGAGTATTTGATACACCTTTGGAGTATTTGATGAAGTAACCACTAAGAGCATAATAAAAAATTAGTTCTGAAATGTTGCAGAACACCTTATTGTTGGTGGGCACACCACTTTTTTCATATTAAATGTAACTTTCAGCATATCAATAGAAATAAACACTATCCAACAAATAGTCTAAATAGGGAGCAGGGAAGCAAAACAAAAATATTCAATTAATTCAATTCAATTTTGGCATGGGTTCTATTTAAGTGACATCCATTTCCATAACCAAACAACAACTGAATGAAAAACTGCTGGTGACCTTCTACCACTGCACCATAGAGAGTATCTTAACTTACAGCACCTGTGTATGGTTTGCCAATTGCACAGTGGCAGATAGGACAGCACTCCAGAGGGTTAACATCAT